TCGTGAATTTTCAGGGGATTTTGTAGCATAACGATGACATATAGCAATATTTCATTAATAAAAGAGATTGATATGGTGTTTTTAAATGGCAATATATCAGCATATGAAGATATTGTGATATTTTAATGTATCAATATTTTTTCCCTTGTCTTTAGAAGTTTTTAAGTCTGTAAAAAAGAAGTTTTTGAGAAAGAAGAAGAAGTAGTATTTTTCATTTTTTTTTTAGACTTTAGAAACTTAGAAGCTGATCAAATATCGGGTTAAATATCGGTGGGGTGGCCGATGTCCGATATTCAGTTTTAAGGCCGATACAGGCCGATACCGATAGGGGGCCGATTATATGGTGCATCCCTACTGTTACTGTATATGACCTTTTCTTAAAAACTAGTTGTTTAACACTAGGTTGTTGAAATACAAGCACAGATTTAAAAGGAAGGAGAACTTCTGTATGTCTTGTTGATAAACTGTATTTTAAATATATGTCATGAGTCCAACTATCACTGAAACGTATCAAAATAAAGCACAAATGTAAGCGCATCTAGCATTATAGCCACCAGAGGAATGGAAGTTTATTGAAATTTTGAGGTGATGGTTGGGTCAGATAAATAAAAAATGAATGAAATAATAGAGACTCAATAATTCTCTGGCAGGGAAAAAAAATTTGTGGTGTGAGATATTTGTTTTAAAGTCAAATATCTTTCTCCAGAAGGAATCATTTCGGATTAAACAGTTTCCCTACGTTATCCCAACCATGAGGTTACTTTTACAGATTATATAACCAGCGTCTAATAGGAACGTTCCTGGCATAGGACCCACAACTCGTGTTTAATTTTAGCCTTTGGCCCTTAGTGTTCACCCCTGGGACATAAACACAGTCATTACATTTACAGGCTTGTGACGGCTGGAGGAAAAAAAAAAGTTTGCAAATAAAAATCAGACATAAAGTTAACAAATTTTTTTTCATCTAATTGTTAAAGAATAATGTATCTGCTTTAAGAGTTTTAAAACTAAGTTTATAAAATGGTTGGAAATGCTTCGTGGATGCGGAGGAGGCTAAGTTTGTACAAGGATTTAAAAAAACAAAACACCAACAACAAAAAAGCAAGGGAGGGAAGGAATTCCAAAAATCCATCAGACAAGATGTCAAATGAGGACAAACAGTGCGAAGAACGAACAAAAGGAAGTAGTAAACACGCAGAAAACAAAAAAACAAAGATGGACACAGAAAAAAGCATCAAAACAACAGAAGTTGATAGGAGAAAATTACAGGCTGCAGAGGAGAAATGTCTCAGAAGAGACCACTGGTCTTGGAGTTTGTCCCTGTTGAGCACTGCCAGCACGCTGCAGCAAACACGCACAAACAAAAGGATCATTTATTGGAAGAGGAGAGGGGGGGAGGCAGGACGCAAAGGATGAAAAGCAGGGGGGAACACTGTACGGAGGCATTTGAGAGTAGTGTGAGTGAAACACTGGCCCCATCTCAAAATTCACAGCCAGCGTGTAACAAACCACCCCCTCCATGCTTCCCTGTGAAATTCTCAGCCACTACAAACCATGCTACCATTTTAATGAAACAAAAAAAAACACTGCTTTTACCAGCAACGCAACAATAAATCCAACACGTTGATGCACGGAAGCAAGCCGATTGTTAATTTCCATCCCAGAAATCTATAAAAGCCAACTGTAGAGCTTGGCTTCCCTGCACCACACACACAGTCACACACAAACCGCAACAACCCCCATATGAATATCTAGCTAATGCTTTAAATTCCTCATTAAATCCGTCTGTGGAGCAGAGCTATGAAATGTTTACCACAAAACTTCCAAGAGCTTTTAATTCCAACAAGTTAGGGAGCAAATCACGAGAAAAGCAACTTAAGGCCACCGTGTGAAAGGTTACAGTGTTTCACTGACACACTTATATCCAGAATCTCCATTTTCATTCTGCTCTATCTGCTTTAACTGCAAGCATTAATTTCTTAGATGGGACCCATCATTTGGTGCAGACAGCGGTTCAAAGAGAATGTTTCTTCTATGACGAAACGTCTAGCGGAGGCTTAGCTTAGTCATTGTTTAACAGGGGTGGTCCTGCAAAGGATAGAACAGTGCGCCTTACAGTATGAATGAACACAACAAAATTAAATAAAGCGGATGTGGTTGCAGGAAATGAAAACATAAACGTCATTGATTGCTACAGGAACCATATACATTACACATACATTCGTTTATCCCACTTTCTTTGTCAAAAGGAAGATTTTATCCCACAAAAAGCCTTAATATTTTTGACCAAACCTTTGTTCAAAACCAATTAATAGCCCATATTTGACAAAATGTCAATATGTTTTCAGACATTTAAGTTTCTTTACTAAATACACTAATATCAAATTAAAATAATGTATCAAACCTATTGTTGTAACACTTCAATATAGCTGGTGAATCCCAGTTTTCCTGATCATCCCTGAGAAACTTCTGCAACCTAACTAAACTGCATGCTCTACAAAGTACAGCTGATTAGGTTAATGTCATATAAAGTCTAAAAATTGGCAGTATTTTTAAATGCAGAACAAGGGTGGGAAGAGGAACTGTCTCTGGAACTCCTAGAGTAACCCCATTGATCACTAAGATGGTGCAGCAGTGTTCCCTGTAGAGAGGAGGAACATGCCAAAGTCACCAATGCTAATGCACCAACCAGGTCTTAAGAGAAGGTTTTTTTTAGTCTACAAGAACCATCTGGTTTGAACTCTTAAAGTAATGTCTGGAGAAATACACTACATAACACTCCTCCAATCAAACTTCCCCACAGGACAATAGACATTAAGACTAAGCCTTAAAGGAATAGTACACCCAAAACATGATTAGCCTTCATTTTCTACTCACCCCCATGCTGAACAACACCCTGGAGTACTTTTTTGATATCTCAAATGCATCTGGAGATCTGGGAGGCTTCTTGCTGTCTGCTGACATTCAAATAATGGAGGTCTATGGTGCCTGAGACAGAAAGGTCCATAAAAGTCCATAAAAAACGTGTCAATATTCCTCCATACTGGTCGTCCAATGTATTCCAAGTGTCCTGAGTGGGTAGCATCCAGAATTTACTCGAAACGAAGTCATTTAGAATGTTTTTAGAGCATAAACAGTAGTGTATAGGATTTCCTGAAAGCGCGCACATGCGCGATCACGACGCTACGGAAGCCGGCAGACCAAACCAGATGAAAGTGCGCATTCAGCATCTGCTCTTCCAATAATGCAAGCGTAGAAGAAGAAATGTGCCGTTTACCTGTGCAAAGAAAGAAACAACGAAAGAAAAATGTCTGAGGACTTCAGTGTTGAGGAAGAGCATGAGTTCTTTGCCGAGCTGAATGCGCTGGTTTGGTCTGCCGGCTTCCGTAGCGTCGTGATCGCGCATGTGCGTGCTTTCAGGAAATCCTATACACTACTGTTTATGCTCTAAAAACATTCTAAATGACTTTGTTTCGAGTAAATTCTGGATGCTACCCACTCAGGACACTTGGAATACATTGGACGAGCAGTATGGAGGAATATTGAAACGTTTTTTGTGGACTTTTATGGACCTTTCTGCCTCGGGCGCTGGGCACCTCCATTATTTGAATGTCAGCAGACAGCAAGAAGCCTCCCAGATCTCCAGATGCATTTGAGATATCAAAAAAGTACTCCAGAGTGTTGTTCAGCATGGGGGTGAGTAGAAAATGAAGGCTAATCATGTTTTGGGTGTACTATTCCTTTAACTTAAGCATGCTAATGGACTGAAGCATACAGCCAGGAAAGAGTAGCTTTAAGAAGAATATGTGACTGTCCCTGAGTGGACTGAAATATGGTTAAACATCTCTGGAAAGACCAAACATAGCTGATTCCCTAACCTAACTGGGCCTGATGGGATATACAGAGGAAAATCATGAACAAAATCCCAAAACAGGTGTGTCAAGTTAGTAGAGACACACCCAAAAAGACCTTTGTGGCTCTAAATGTTTTTGAAACACTGGAAATATTTGCCAATTAAACAATTGCACATCTTTTGGGATTTTGCTTTACCCTGTTATGTTTCTTTCTTAACAAAATATTGTTAGATAGCAAAATTAGTCTCGTCTGATGCTGTACTCCAGCCTCACAGTGGGGCATTTTAAATTGACAATACCGAAAGCAGGTTCAGCTTAACTGAACATGAAAGTACAATGCTTGTATGGAAAGACTGAGTGGTTCAATTTACTACCGGTTGCATGTATGGATGATGTCTGTATAACCTTTTCTTCTCTTAACCCCCCATCCACAATGACTCAACTGGAGCAGAATAATTCTTAATAATTGCTTCTCATATATAAGCAGCAAAACAAAATTACATATGATCCCCAACAAGGAAACTTAGGATTTCAAGGATATAGATTTTCTCACTGGTTTTCTGACTTGACTCACGCATCTATTGTTTAAAATCATCGTCCTGCACAAACAAATAGTACATTAGGGCAAGGGAACCAATGCTGAAGGAGCCAAACAATGTATTTATTGCATGTATGTTGGATAGTCTTATGAAAGCTCTCTATATTGAATTCTGCTTCAGTCAAGTTTTATTTACAAGCATTGCTCAAAGAATCTAAAAATCCTTATCTTGTGCTCAGACCAAACACATTTTGACCATCAAGAGCATTTAGTTCACATGCAAAGTTGATGGTGGACATGCCACAATGGGCTTTAAGACGTCTCACGATGGGTTGTGATGCTTAAAACGTGTGAGGGAAGCAATATTCTTAACACTCTCATTCTAATCCACCCAAACCAGACGTCATTAGACGTTGGTTTTTGGGCTAAATCTGGTCGGTCCTGATTTAGTCCTGAAATAGTTGTTGAAAATTGGGCTACCGGTCTTACTTTGTCCCACTTTATTCCAATAACGAAAACATGTTGAGTCTTTTAAAGGTCTTTTCAACCAATTTTTGCTTGGCAGGACAGCAAAACACGGTGCAAATGGTTAGGAGTGAAAGGGAAATTATGAGACAACTATATCAATAAGTGTTAAAACTCTTACCTGTTCCCTCTTTGTTCCCGTTTGGATGTGTACGTAGCTCCTCTGATTTGTAGAAGTCAATGCTGGCATACGTATTGAGGCTTGAACTACTGCTCCCACCAGCTGCTGCCCCCATTACCCCAATCGTGGAGCCTGAACCAAGAACAGAGAAGTGTCGAGATTGGGGCTGCCCTCCTGTGGCAGCTTCCAGGCCAGCATTTGGACTCTCTTTGTTAACCAAGTCCAAGTCTATGTAGTTAAGACCTTGCTCTGTGGATGATGTCTGATTGCTTGTAGGAAGTGACTGCTGTGCAGGAAGTGGAAGTTGAGTAGGAGCATCTGTGACGGCACCGTTCCCCCACAGCATGCTCTCAAAACCAAGGCGGCGTGCAACAGCCTGGGTATGCTCTGGGAAGAGGGAGGCAGTTGAAGAAGAAGTAGAGGCAGACGTGGATAGGGAGGGTGTTGCCACAAAGGTTTCTGAGCAGTGCCGCCTACGTCCTTGGGGGTCAGCACGGATTACCTTAGCACCCTGATCTGGGTTCAGTCCTGTTTTGCCTAAGGTAAAGTCTAGACCCCGAGAGAGCATTGAAACTGAAGAATCGGCTCTTGTGGGAGAGGGGACCTGGGGGGACATACTAGGTGATGATCGAGGGGCAGTGTTGTTTTTCAAGCTGAAGGCCATCTCTGTGTAGTCCCCACAAGATGTAGGAAACTCTGACTCACTCACTGAGGGAGCACTTTCCCTGCTTTTCCTAGGAGGCTGTTCAGGCACTACAACAGCCGCTTCACATAAACTAGCAGCAGTGTCCTTGCAGGTTTTAGGGGCATGGGCAAGGGCTGGAGGTGTGGGAGGGGTGTGGAAAGGAGGGAAAATTAACTGGGTATTGGAATGGGGCGAAGGGGATGGTGAAGGCCCGAGATCCATATTTACATACTCCGAGGGAGTGGGTGGAGAGACTGGGGCTGAGGGACTACGAGACAGTAAGACAGTGTTTTCTGAAGATGAAGCTAGTCTGTTTTGAGGATGCTGGTTAGTTGAGCCATGATTCATCAATGATCCATGTCTAAGTGCTCTGCCTCGCCCACTGGCAACTCCCTTATATTCAATGCTTACATACTCCCCAGGGCTCTTAGGTTCAGGGGGTAGAGGATTCTCACGGACTCTTGGAAGAGTGTTAGCCTTAGAAACGTCTACAAACAGACTTACTGGTCTACTTCTAAAGTGATTACCTTGTTTTGTCATCCCACCAGAACCCCGTCTCTGAGAAATCTTGCTCCCCTCTTTGGACTGAGACCCACATGTCACTTTACCGGTCGCCTGATTAGTCCTATCATCGCTCTCACCAAGACTCTCACTGCTAGCTGAGCTGGAGGAGTATGAGGACGAAGAGAGTGATTGATGCTGCCCAACACCTGGACTGCCAGTTGGCTGCTCTTGATGCCCACCTAAGTTTCTACCGCCCCCCACTCCCCTGCTACAGCTGCCATTGGGACGTCGACCTCGTCCAGGCCCATCATCAAAAAGCCCAGAAGTGGGGTTATGCTTGTACGACCTGGGAAGGGAGTAGTAAGAATAGACCATTTTTGGGGGCTGCTGTTGCAAACTGGTCTCCAAATGGCAAGTGTGTTCATTGGGTGGGGGACTGCCGTTTACAGAAGGCACACTGATTGGAGACATATTCATGTAGTCGCTACCAGCCCTGCTGTCAGCACTGCCAACCCATGTGCCTTCAGAGAGATTTCCACGCTGGTCAGGGGAGCAGCTGCTGTTGGGTGACATTATCATATAGCCATCAGCCACTGGCAGGGGACGAATCTGCTGTGGGGGTGACACGCTGTTGTTGGGGGTCATGGCCATATAGTCATCAGCAGGCTTGGAATCTGATTCTGGAACAGAGACGGTCATTGTTTGACATGAGGAAACAGGAGGCTGAGTGACACCTGGTAACATGGACATATACCCATTATCAACCCCAGCAACTGCTCCTGGACCAATGTCACTTTTTAGCTCTCCGGCTACATCCAAGTACCCTCCTCCCCCTACAGAAGAACCCATGGTTGATTCCCTTTGAGTAGAGGAACAGGTTGATGTGAAGGACTCCCGACTGGTGCTCCTTGACATAATAGCATAATCAGCTGAATCTTCATCTGCAGGTTCTTCAGCTCTGCGCTGATGTGGAGCCAGTCTTTCCAGGGCCATAGGAGGCAGGGAGGCACGCTTGCTCAGAAGCCTTCTTTCAGCCTCACATTCACGGCTAGATGAACGTCGTAGCACCCGCCTAGTCTGGGGAAGTGAGCCATTAGTTGGTGTTCCTGGCACAGGCTGAGAGCTGGATGTAATGTTGCTTTGACTATTGTTGCTTACACCAACGCTGCTCCCACTACATTGGCCCATCATGATGTAGTTTGCTCCGTCCTCGCCAAGGGATTGGCTGCCAGTGCTGCTGACAGAGCTTCCTGGTAGGCTCTGAGAGGGAAGAGCTGTGTGGTCCCCAGGACTGGAACCATACTCATCAGACGAGCCATAATCACTTGGTGAGCATGAGACTGAGGTATGATGTGAGGGTACACGAGTATAAGCGCCAGACCCTGCAGCAGCACCGGCAAATGGGATGCCTCCAAACTCAGATCCGTGCCCAGAGCTGGATGAGAGACTAGGGGCTGGTGATGGGGCCGGGGTCGAGATGGAGCGCATCAACCCAAAAGGAGTTTTAGCAGCTGTTGTTGGGACTGAGCGGGCAGACTTTGACCTGAGGATTGGGGTCGTAGAGCAGGAGCCGTTGTTAGAAGGACTTGAGTTTACACCATGGAGTGGAGTGGAACTTGTTATCCCGTCCTCACTTTTTCCCCCATCACTGGCGGTGCGTGACCTTGGGAAGCTGTGTCGAGGTGTGGGGGAGGCACTTGAACTGCCTACTCCCACTCCAACAGTGGCACTTAAGGAGGGCTCAGTTCGGGGACGGCGGAGGAAGCCCACCTGGCTGGGAGGAGGGTTGGGGTGGTGCCGACGCGAAGGAACACTGATGGGGTTGGAAGCTGTGGCACCTCCTCCAGGACCAGAATTCGACTGCGACTTACTGCGCTGGCGGAACTCCTCGCTCAGGGCTTTCATGGCCTCCAGCAAGGTTTCATGCATGTTCTGGGCCACCACAGAATCATCCACCTAGGACATAACATATACACTCAAGTCAAATCCTTACAGATGCAGATATCTTATAATTTTAATACAATTAAATTCTTTTATTTTATTTATATATTAAGAACCAAATCATAAAAAATATTCTCTCCAGCTATATTACAAAGCAAGCAAACACAAACCTTATTTGGCTGAATTTTATATTTGATTCAAATTATCCCAATAAAGCACAATCATGTAGTGAGCCTGAGATCTTTACAATCCAGTTAAATTTTAATCAGTTTCACAAAGCCAAAGATAAAATCTAGTTTTGTAAAAAAGTTAATCCAATATATTTAAGAAAGCCTATTTTAATGCATTGAATTTCTGACTTTGCAGCAACCCCTCATCCTGAGAAAGCGTCTCAACATTAAATCAACTTTTTTTAGAGCAATGAAGATTTAAACTTTATTGTCATTGCACTGTCACAAGTACAAAGCAATGAAATGAACTTGCTCAGGGACCCAGAGTGGCAGTCCGTGGGAGTGGGGCTTGAGCTCAGAACCTCTGGAACCCAAGCGCAATACCCTAACCACTAGGCCACAACTCCCCTTTTAAATAGTTAGTGTAAGCAGAATAAGATAATGATTAGAGTAGCTGATGCAATTAATGAAATTCACATTTTGTTTTAATTGTTTTTTAGAGTAAGCTGATTTTTTTATAAACATTATTTTTGAGTGCGAGGAGAGATTCCAAGCCACCGCAGTCAGGAGATACTTCCATGTGTTTAATTGTGTGTATGCTGCTTACATTACTTATTGGTCAGCTCTTTTTTGCTTCAATGTCTGCTTCACTGTGTAATTACCCGTCTGTTTAAAGCTCCAAAGGACAGAAGTGGTCGAAAGTAGTTCTTTAAGTTGGGTATTATAACGAGGGAGTCGTGACACTGTAAGGTTTCAGAAAGGGCTTCGTGTATTGTTCCCGACTGGAGACAACACCCAGTAGTAAATGAGGTTAAGGCAAGAAAGATAAAGCTACACATTTTTTTTTTATTGCTAAGTTTACTACAAGGTCAGAAAGTTTGTCACTCTGCTATAGATTACCTTAAAAGCATATTTAGTCAAATGCAAGTCTTACATTAAGACTCACATTTGCCATAATAAACAGGTTCCTCTGTTTGAATGTGCAAACTTTGTTAAACCACCCCGATTTAAATATTACTTGAAAAAAATAAATAAATAAAGTTATATGCACATTTAGACAGTAATTTAAATATTACTTGGAAATGCGACAGTATCAACCATTAGTTAATATAAAATGTCCAGTCGGTGATTTTATGATTATAGTTGCACCATCAGCTGAATTGGGACTTTTACTCTTGAGATGGCTCTTTGCACATATAATTCATACTTGTGCAATTAGCGTTAATATGCAAAAAAGAATAAATGAATGGAATTGTTTAAATGTGGCAACATTTTTCATCTTTTATCCATATTTATTAACTTTGTTGTTTAAGTCCAATAAATTTAAGATTATGATTGAGTCAATAAATCTGGATTAAGATTATGTGAAGCAATTTCTACCTGGGTTTAAAGAAAACTGGAAAGGTGTGGCTTTGGTGGAAACATGATTTTTAAATCCTATCAACACCTCACCATTCAATCTGAACCACAAGGAAAGTAAAAACAGAACAACTGTCTTAATTGAAAGCTTTTAACAACACAGGTTGACCCTTTCGGGGTAATGGAAATTCTCTGAATCTGTGATTCTTAATCTCAAAAGCAGTGTACAATACAGCTTTACTTCTCTTTCCTGCATTGTTTAAAAGCCATGGGAGGTCAAATTTTGTTGTGCTCCAAAATATTCTTATGAATAGTATGAATATATGTATTAATGCATTAAACTCACAGTCTTAAATAAAGACGATAATATAATTGTTCTTTTAAAGGAAAGTTTTTTAAATTTCTCCTGAGTCATAAAAAGTTTAAATAAAAAAGCCAATAGATTAGACAAAAAAGTTTGACTCTCCTTTCACTAGTTGTTTGGAGATTTGCAACTGGTTAATGTTGGAAGCTAACGCACACAACTCCAAATTGCATGCCTACCTGCATCCAAAACTCGCCGGGACCCGTCACAGCCGAGCGGCCCACCTCGACAAAGAAAAAGTTTTCTGAATGTCCGCAGCGCCTGACATTCATCAGCTGGAGCACCACAGCGGCTGCGTCGGAGTTCAGCTTCACGAAGTTGACCGTCTTGTCAGTTAGGCAAAGCCGATAGATGCCCACCAGGTTCTTGGCTTGACCTAAGCCTTTAGGCCACACCTTTACCTGCCAGACTTCTTTGAACGCCGGCCCTGGATTAGGCGCTCCATAGTCCCCTGCAGTCGAGCTGTCACTGGGATTTTTACCTTTAAAGACAAAGCACAGACATTAAAGGGTTATAGGAGTAAAAAAAAAATGAAACACAGCGAAGACCAAAAATCAAAGAATATGTTCTTTAATTCATTTTATAACTTACCAAATACAACCACTATCTGTTGGCAGAAGGCTATAAGCTCTGATAAATAATGCTGTTTTAATGCTGAGTTTATTTTAAATGTGATCTCAAAACAAAACCAGCATGTACCAGCTTGTACCTGCAGGCCTCATATCTGAGGTCCCAAGTCAGGCATCTCAGCACCCTGACACCCACAGCCAGTATGGAAAAATCAAACAGTCGACAACCGAAGTGCTACAGAAAAACGCTGACTGTGAGAGAAAAGTGCCAATTATGGAGAGTAAAACAGGAACTTCAGCAAACTATGATGGAAAATGCCTCTTATAAAATCTTTAAAAGTAAAGCAAACAATACAAAATGATGATACGCCTCAAATAAAAGCTTCTCTTTAAAGCCCAGTTTCCAGCTATGCGAATGACTGGGCTAACACATGTAGAAGTATAGAGAATCCCCACTCTGTCCTTAGCTGGCTTTGCTCAGACTGTTTATTTAACAAAAGCTGGGGATTTTTTCTTAACATTTTGTTTTATTATTTACACGCATATTTTCTGCCTACAGTCACTGTACAGGTCAGATTTCAGAGGTTTAGCGTGTGCTTTTTATCCTCAGGAAGTGCCTTCTCTCCCTCATGCCATGGGACTCGTTTTGATTAGGTTTATGTTTAAGCTGTTTTACATCAACCTACAAAAGCAAACAAGAATTTAAGTTAAAAAAATAATTTAAAAAAGCCTCAATTTTGGGCAAATTGGGCTCCCTAAAAAAAAAAAAATCTCTAAAGAAGACTGCTATCCTTCAGGGTGCCACATTTCTTGATATGATGTTATGTTCCTGGACTGAATATGTCTGAGCATGATGTTCTTTCTGCAGCGCAGGATAAATCAATGTCACAACCGCATGAGAAAAACCTCCAGAGAAACCTGCGTTCTTCGAGAAAAGAGGTTGTTCAATGTTTATTGGTGTTGAATACTTGTCTTACTAGCCTACCATAACTGGCATGAAAGCGCTGATGGGAAAAGTGTTTTCCTTACAGCTTAATGGGTTGTGATTTTAATTTTAAACAGTCGTAGTGTAAAGAAAGTATACCTTTTTGTGCTTATTAACACCCAACTATCAGTAGTTTTCTTTGGTTATATCTGTCTAGAGGAGGTTCAGGTCTGCTTAGCCGAGCATCTGTCCTCCTTCAGATCATTGCTGTTTGTGGATGTTCTTCTTCTTCTTCATCTTCTATGGTCCTACCATAATAGTTAACTCTAGTCTAGGTCTAGACTTTGACTAGACCATTGTACCTTGATTCTTATTATTTGGTTTTCTAGAAGCATCTCTTCTTTGGTCTCACCTGTCCAAATGGCATTGTTTCAGAACCAGATGGAAACTTTACAAATACTAGTCGTGTTTGAGAAAAGACTTTGATCCTGGTAACCCCAACCTTGGTTTCCTTCCAACCCTTGTGACATGAGGCCCATTTACATTACACTCTGAAAACCGATTTTTGCTGAGCTTGGTTCAGTTAACCGCGTCAAACTTTGTTAATTACGACCATTTATACACCCCGCTAGGACAGTTCCTCGCCCCCTAGTGACAACCTATGCTACTACTGCTCTCTTGAGGTAAACAAGAAACCAACGTGGCGGTGCCTGTAAAATTCAGGAAGTTTACAGAGAGTCAGGCAAAGAAGGCAGCCTTTGGTGAATTTACTTGAATTTACTTACTTTTGGTAAAGCCGGGCATACACTGTGCGATTTTTTCAATCGTTGCACGCAGCTACAACTCACACTGTACGACGAAACCGCAGAGTTTCATCATACAGTGTGAGTTCACAGCTCTCGATGTATGTGCAGCATGACGCTCTGGTGAGATCTAACTGCTCTCACTGTACGTCTAAAAACCATGTCTGACTCAGCTCCGCAGTGAGATGCCGTTGCTCTGACTCGTCTATCCAGAAGCCAAACAAAGACGGGAAATCTGAAGCTCACTAGAGTGAAACGTGCTGGCTTGGCAATTTGTGCAATTTTGTGTTGGAAGCCCTAAAAAGGAAATGGCGACAACGTTTTTGGACAAAGACATGGCTGAGCAAACGTGGCTACTATGGTCTGTCAATTTACAGACAGAACTCCATTTCAGTTAGGGCTGGGCGATATAGAAAAAAAGCTTATCGATAAAAAAAAATGCATATTGATCGATATCGATAATTATTGAAAACATTTGAAACCATATTTTATGTGCAGCTCTGCCTGGACTTTTTATGATATTGCTAAATGATTTAATTTTAATAAAGAACACAAACACAGACTTCCAATTAAATCTTTATTTAACCAACTTTTTTAACCATAACAGAATTGTTTTAAAGAAAAATAACTTAAAAGACCTGGGTTATTAAATACTGACAAAGAATAAACTAAAAAGACCCGAAAAGTGACCAAAATAAACATAACAAATAAATAAATTAACCCCCCCAGAAACAACCCCCCCCCCCGGCCGCCGCCGCCATTCTTCTAAGCTGAACCTGGTTCAGCTTAGTTTCCTGCTTTAACCTGAGTTATTACTTTGAAGTTGCTGGCCACTCAGCATTTTTCTCTCAATTGTTAGAACTACGTTGGAAACTGCCCAGAACTGAATATTGTAGCGAATGTATTAGTTCAGTCATAGGACTTAACAGAAGTAAGTGTAATGTTACGTGTGGCCGCTAGAGGGCAGTTGGATCCTTGGTTATTAATATTGGCTGTCTGTATCCTGAGTTCAGTTGTTTGATAAGCTGCATAGAAGACGCCACTTGGCCCCGACGAGAAGACAATTCCTCGTTGGAGCTAGGCGTCATTGCAGCCTGTTGTAATCATCCAACCAGCCATTAAATGGTAAACTTCATCCAGCATTCCTGTCGTGTCATTCCCACGCAACGGAGACTGTGAGTAAACTATATGCATTCAAGAGGGAAGCTGAAGCTAATCAGATCTCACATGAAAACTAGCAAAGATAGCTAACTTCATCCGAAGACGTGACGCATATAAACAAGAGGTAAAAGACACGACACTGGTGTCAGAAGTGCAAGTTACCGTCATCATTCAAGCAAAGTGGACCGAAATATTAGTGTGCTTTGGGAGTTTGCACTTAATACTTTCATTCTGCCGAACTTTTGGACTGTATCAGAGTATTATTCTTTGCCGAATCATCAGAGATATCCAGTCACTCGACGGTGCTCTGTTTCCATTCCCCCGTGCGAGAGGAGGATGCGGCGGTGCTGCAAAGGGAAAAAGTGCCCGACGTAGATGTTAAGGACAACCGAAAAGTAGCATAACAGCGACGTGCGAATGATTTCTGAACTGTTTATTGCACATTGCCTTGGACATTAGCCCTGCTAATAACATCCACTATACTGACTTGCTTGAAGTGCCAAAGTACAGGATTGCATTCAAAACACTTCGTTCATCTTAAAAAAAAAAAATAAATAAATAAAAAATAAAATAAAAAAAAATAAAAAAATAAATAAATAAAAATAAATAATAATAATAAAAGATAAGAAAAAAAAAATAACTAAAAAAAAAAAAAAAAAAGATATATATATATATTAAAAAAAAAAAAAAAAAAAAAAAAAAAAAAAACCCTGAAAGAAGGAAATCCTGTCATGATGTCTGAAGACCAAGCAAGTGGAGATAGTGCGACTGCGGCCACAATAACATCGTCAGACCCACCGTCATGGGTAAAAATCTTGTTAGAGCAGCAAGCCCACATGCAATGCACGCAAATGCAACAAATGCAACAAATGCAACAAACGCAAATGCAACAGATGCAACACATGCAACAAACCTTGGCTGGGTTGACCACACATCTCCATTCCAACAGGGGCCCATCTCCACAGCTTACAGCGCCTGCAGTGGGAGTGTCAACTGTGAATTCAGATCAAGTGACCCGAAGTCGCACATCTCATGCCACCCAAGATGGCTTTGCTCGCCCCAGCCTGCAGGAACATTCAATTTCACACTCAGCTGTAGTATCCCAAGCCACACTTATGTCTGCTCCACGTGCTGCTGACGGTGTAACAAACCAATTTGCTGCTGAACTGGATGTAATTCAACAGCGGTCCCAGAGCACAGGCCCCCCTTGGCTGCTGTCTGATTCAGGCGCTGTGGACAGGGCCAGAGGCATGGAAAGGGAGAGAGGACGACAGCGTTTCATAGCTGCCACCTCTCGGACTCATGGTTCCAGTCACATACAATCTGACGTTCCTCCAACTGCCCCATATGATGGGCCTAGACCAAAAATGGCGACGTATGATGGAAAAGAGGACTGGGAGCCATTCTTGTTGCCATTCGAAAGACTAGCTCGCAAATATTCATGGACTGGTGCTGAAAGGGTCGACAAGCTGCATGAATGTCTTCGCGGCGCTGCCATGCGCTATGTATGTTCCCTTCCAGAACACATCAGAGAAGACTACACTCTGCTTAAAGAACACCTAACTCAACGCTTTGGTCATCAAGATCCCCCAACAACGGTTCGCAGAAAACTTGGAGAATTACGCCAGTCAAAAGAGTCATCTGCGGAGTTTGCAGAGGAGGTGAGACGTTTAGTAACCTTTGCCTACCCTGGTGTAGATATGTCCCTGCAAGATCAATTGGCTGCAGATGCTTTTCTAAAGGGGTTGAAAGATCAAAAGCTAGCCTATGAAGTGATGAATAAAGATCCATGCACGCTGGCAGACGCCCAAAAGCTAGTGGAAGCACATGAACACAACTACAAGGCTACAGTGGGGCGGGAAGTGGACCTGAAGGGTAGAACAAGACGCGTGTCTTGGGCTGATGACAATGACGAGATGGCGCATGTTTCTCGCCATTCTCGCCAACATTGACAATCAGTCGTGCCACCAACCGAGGGCCTAGTCTTCACATTACACTGAAGGTGAACAACACTCCAGTCCAA